CGATCAAAGCCCGGGTGGATGCCGTCAAACTGCACCCAGAAGTGCTCTTTCATCAGTGTTTGTTTGTAGGAGACAGTGAAAGTGGGGTTTTGTCTCTGAGCCATTTGTTTCTTCCATTTTGTTATTATGCAAATTGACCCATTGCAGTTTCTCGACTGCATTTCGACTGCAATTTGGGCGTGATCTTCCTTGTTAAAGATCACCATAAGGTTGTTGCGACCCAGGTTCTGCAGGGAGAAGCCTTCACCAACATCTTTGAGTTTAGCCTCCCTTTTTATCGTCTCAATGATCCATTTTCTTTTCTCAGCCGGCATGAGATCTGCACCATTACGGGTAAAATTGAAAACTACTGCATGCCTCTCATGAAGATCATCCAATTCATGGATTTTGCCAACGGGGTATGTCCACACAATCACTTCCTCTTCCTTGTCTTCCACTAACACTTTCTCTGTGATGGGTACTCCTTTGACCTTGGTTCTTTCGATTACGAACTTGAGTGCTTCGTTATCAGCGAGTTTCATTTGTGTCTTCCCTTCACCTGTTTGTGAGTTACGGGTGGTGTAGGCTGCATTTTGACTGACTTGCTTGAAAGGGACCATTTCACGGCCCGCAGATGGGGACGCCATGTTTGCCACTCAATTAATATCGGGGCCAGAGTCTCCTTTCCCCTAAAGAGGGTGTCACCGAAGTGCAACGTTGTTGGAGTGAGTACGGGGTTCGGGATGGGATCGTGCTTTAATAATGCGAGAGACCGGAGACGGGGGGTGTACAATGGTGTGCTTATGGAGGGGTTAGAATGATTCGATCCGGGGGTTAGCATCTGAGGGATTGCGCTTGGGTGGGTGTTAGAAGTCGGACTCAGCGAACTTGAAGTTGACACAGACTTTCTGTCAACGAGATGAAAAAAGGGGGGGGGGGGCCAGGGGGGGGGGGGGGGGGGGGGGGGGGGGGGGGGGGGGGGGGGGAGACTTATCGATTGTTTGGGTGTTAGAGATGTGGTAAGATTGGGGGAGGAAGGATGTCTATTACGGAGGACGATTTGTTACCCAGGGGGAGGGGAGGAGGATGGGGCGAGGGGACGGTGCGGGAGGGGGGATGATGGATAGTGAAAGCGGTGTATGGTGGGGGCCAGGTTGTGGGAGATAGGGTCCCCGGGTGAAAGATCGGAGTTGTGTTATTGGAGGGGGGCGACGAGCGGAGAGGGGGATACCGAGGGGTAGAGGGGTTCTCTGCATTTCGCTATGATGTGGAGTATGGGAGAGGGAGGGGTGGGTAGGCAGGGTAGCCGGGGGGTCGGCAGGGGGGTTGTGTAATCAAGTACCAGGCTTGTGGAATGTTGGATGAGGCGGGTAGGATGGTGCAACTGCAATGGGAGATCGTGGGAGGAAAATAATTCAGGGAATGGGGGTAGTTGGGTGTTGCGATGAGCAGAAGGGCAGTGAATCGGGAGAAGGTGTGTTTTTGGAGTAGAGATCGAATCGGGGGGGGGAGTGAGGTGGAGAGGAGAGGTACTGGTCGAACTCGGCTGCCTTTGCCGGCGAGATGGGAAGGGGGGTCGGGTGCGGTCAATGAGGAATGAGGGGTAGGGGGGGGAGTGTCGTGCTTGGGGTGGGGTGGGGGGGGGATTGTTTGGTGGACTGGAGAGGGCGGGTGGTTACTTAGTAGGGTGGGAAGGGGTGGGGCGGAAGTGTGGGGTAGGTATAGAGATCCATGATTCGGATGTAGGAGAGTAGGGTAGGTGGAGTTGGAGTTTTGGTTAGTCTCACTCGACTTTGTCCCAAACGTGTTCAGCTTGGATCGGTCCGATCTTGTCGGCTGCTGGCGAATCGCTGTGACTCCCAAAATTCCTTGAGTAGAAGTTACTGTACTCGTCGTTGAATACAAAAAAAAAAAAACAGTGATGGACCGTATGTTGTCCTTCGAATTCCTTCGAAGCTCGCTGGAAAGGAGTTTGTATTGGAATCTAAACTTTGATTGCCACCATCCCCCTTGGCCAGCGTTGTCTGCCAGGTGCAGAGTATGTTTCGCGGCTTCCCGTCAGCCACCGCTGTGGAAAATGATGACCTGTGCGCACACGTGCTTCTTCTTCATTTGAGCGAGAGCTATGGGTCGGTGTATGATGGTCGACGTCGTATTCGAAAAGTGAAGCAGAAAAATGTGTGGGCTCGCGCGCGGCAAAATTTCGGGCGAGAGGACACGCGCGGCGAAGTTGCAGGGCGTGAGCGCGAGGAGGAGCACTATTTTGCGCTAACCGACGGCGTGAGCGCGAATTGTGAAGACCAACTCAGGTTGTTTCTAATTTCTCTTAGAATGTCTTCCTCTGTGGTGGGTTTAAATCTTTTAGTTTTCTTCTCAGTCCCCTCCTCTGTACCTTCCATTGAGAATCAGACTAGTTCCTTCAAAGGAGAGGCTGATTTTTAGTTCAGGTGGAGCTTTTCCTGGTTCCCCTTTCCTCCTTTGCTGCCCTCTCTGCCTTGATGTTGTCCACAGCCTCCTCCATGTTCTTCCCCAGCCATTCTTCACTCACGAAGGTGGCCATGCTGTGAGCGATCCTATCTACCTCGTCCTTGTTTCTCAGCAGCATGTGTGGGATTTCGCAGAACAACTCCCATGGCTTCCATACCAGCCCATCTCTCAGCTGTGCGAGGTGGTCATAGATGGCCATGTAGGGTCTCATATTGCTCCACCGAGGTTTTCCCTTGCCATCGTCCCATTTTACCTGAAGCCTCTCATCATGGCACGCCCTGTAGAAGGCTTGGGGGCAATGAGAAACTGGCCTGGTTTATCCAATTCTTGGGCAGTGACGATGGTCAGTGACGACCGGACTCCGATTTGCCATTCTCCATTTTCTGTTCACCGAAACTGGAGGGCAGAATTTGGATTGTTGGGGAGAGGGAGCACGCGTCTATGCTTGCTTGGACAGCCAGATCTGAGGGGTTCTCTTTGTTGTGTCCACTCCAGCAAGTCATTGGCAAGGGATACGATTTTTCCTTCTTGATTCCCCTGTTTCCCTTGACCATCCTCTTTCTCGTTGGTCTCCTTATTGTTTGACCCCTGCCTCCGCATAGGTAGGAGTTCGGCCATTCAATCGTCTGGGAAGCTGAGTCTGCCAACTCAATTTCCATACCATCTTCCTGGTTGTCCACATACTGCAGAGCCAAAAATTCTGCAAATTGGTTTTCGAGCTGCAGTGCCTCATAGCCTGTTTGTGGGGTTTTTTTCAGGCTGGGATGTGTCTGGCTAGCCTGGTTTCGAAGTCCAAATCCCTGCGAGAATGGAGGGATTCAATGTACGCGGTTAGCCACTCTTGGGTGCCGATTGGATCTTCCTCTTCTGCTGTTCCCTGGCTGTTCTCTGATGCCTTTGTTGTCATCAGACTGTCAAGATGCATTTCACTGGTACCCTCCTCCTTTTCTGTGTTTCCTGAACTGGACTTCTTTGAATCCGGTGTGCGGGCAGTACCTTTAGCGTCCTCTTCCTCGTTCCTGTTCTTTTTCTTCATTTGTCCTAAGTCATTCTTTTACCCTCCGTTTCTGCTTTTCCCTTCCATCTCACTTCTAGGTAAGCCTTTTCTGCTTCCCTCCCTATGCTGTGGACTTCCCCGAGAATCTGCTTTTTTAGCATTGATTGTTCCAGTTGGAAGGAGTCACCCTGCGTCAGTTTGTCGTATTTGTGGGTTGATCTGTCGCTCCGTTTCCCACCTCCAGCTTGCCATCTGCTCGCATGTGGTAGGAACACGTCTAGCTTGCTTGCTGGTTCTGGTTCAGACAGGGTCCAGATCCATGCTGGGATGTCGTTGGGTCATACAAAAACCCAGCCTGCGTAGGCTGGGACGTTGCCCTTTATTGCTTCCGCTTCCACTAGCATTGAAGGGGAGAGTCTCCTTCCCGCTCCTTTGGGGAAGTTCGGCGGGCAGGGTGGGTCATTCTCCATGTGCCCTTTTACTCTGCATCTGAAGCACATGGGGTTGGAGTTGGTGGATATGTCGACTGTTCGGATTTCAAGTCCCAGACTTGAAGAACCGTTTGTCCAGGAGCTCTGGGCTTTGAGTTCAACGGAGGCGATTCTGGAATTGGCACTGGGAGTGAGGAAGCCGGGTGCAGATGAGACCCATTCGACAAGGGGGTATTGGGGGCAAGAATCTCTCAATCTCTCCTCTACCAGACCATGTAGTCCGTCAGTCAAGTTGTCACACTGGATCCAGTAGTGTTTGCTCATCAAGGCTTGTCTTGTGCCTTGAAGACCCCTGCTGTGCCGTCCTGTTCGGCCTCCATTTGGAGATTGCTAATACTGAGCCCTCGCAGCCGAGGGCCTGGATTGAGAGTAGGTACGCTGCGTAGTCAGGATCCACACACAGCACTGTGACTGCGTTTTTGCCTCTGTTAATATTGCAGCCTTTGGTTCCATATCCCTTAAATTCCTACGTTTTTTAGGGCTTCGCGAACTCTTCATCTTTTTTCTGTCTGCGACCAGTGTCTGATTTTTGAAGGGAAAGATCACACCACAGCGTGAGTTCCATAGGACTCATCCAACACAGGGAGGTGTTCTTTGGGGTATTCCCAAAATCTCAGTCTGGAGATCCCTAGTCCATCAACAATTCAGGTTTTCAGATGCAGTTTCTAGGTGCTCTGACATTCTTCATAAACTCCACTTTGTATTGTAACATACTCCATCCCACAAGAGAGAGCCAAACCACTGATCAGTATCTGTTATCCTGAAAGTGGAACAGTTACCCCAATGGGTGCAAGACTTCACATGTGTTGAAGGAATTCAGTGAGAAAGCACATCACATGCATGTCCAGTTCAGTCTGGCAGGCGCTGTAGCTTGGGAAATAGAAAGAAAGACAACAACAAAAGTTAATGTTTTTCACACGAGCATCATTCCTGGCATGCCACCGTACAGACGATCATATGCTGCATGAACGATTACATGGCCAGGATGTCCAACCGTTCTACGATCATTTACATACCAACATTGACAAGGACATATATGAACCTACCTCTCGGGCTGTTGAGCCTTCTCCACCACCCATGATGAATACTCGCTTGGGGCTGTCAATCAAATACAAGGCGGATGGATCACATGAAACGATCTGTCATGAAGAACAAACATGGCTGCAAAATGACGATATCCTCGACACATGCCTCTAGACTCTAGAGTGCAGTCAACATGCCCACCAAAAGACACCTGACATGCAGACTATCTCCGCTGAATGCATGCTTACTATCTCCCCATCCAAATCCCTGAACATGCAGATATGTCTGGCACATCCTCCAAGGATTAGGATGTAGAGATGCCAGCAGGGCAAGGTGACGTGGCAGATGCTTTACGCATGAAAAGCATGATGGAGTGAGTGACTCCAAAATGCTCACTTTGCAAAAGAAGGGTAGGGAGCCCGGAGTCTCAAGAGGGGTGTTAAGGTCCTGTACATTCAAAGAGGGGGGAAGGGGGACTGCCTGGGGCAGGTAGTGTCCAGCAAGCACATGTTTGGTGTGCATGTGTGTTGTCATGTTCACTATACACAACTCTGCAAAAAAAGCATGACTGTGCCAGACTTTTCGTCGGACTCTCGCCGACTCATCAGAAGGTTGAACCCCGACAGTCTGCCCAGGATGCATTTGACTGATGGATAAGGACTCACCAGGTCGCCCTGAGTTAATGATACCCATCAGAAACGCGGTAGACTTCACTCACACAAACCCTGCAACCCTAGCAGACTGTTGGTCCAAACAGCTGACAAGAACGGCAGTCAGTCTGAGAAACTAATATGTCACAGCCATAAAACCCACTCTACACACCCACTCAGCCAGGGATACAGAATGGCATGACCACTAGCCCGGTCCAAACCCTAGCCGCACCAATCCACCTGAACGAAGAGCTTAGCAAGGTCATGCTGTACTAGGGGACCTGTTGCGGCTACGCCCGCAATAAAAA